CACTTGCTTATTTTTTACCTATTATTTATTTATTTATTACTTCTTTGGTTATTTTCTGAGCCCACTGATTAACATGTGGGATTTTGAGAGTCAGGGATGTGCCTCTTTTATTTATTTCCATATTCTACAAAATGAACAATGCCTACCAGATATAGTAGAGTTTTCATACACTGTAATTGAATGAAGAATGGTAAGACACCAAGCTTCCTCCAGAGACATCTGCTCAAGTTTCCTGTCCAGGCTGTCCTCTTTCCAGTTGGCCTGTGCACTCCAGATGCAGATCTCACTGATTTTTTTCCTGCTATAGCCCAAAGGCTGCAAAGTTCCCCCTGCTCCACCCTGTACTGTGCATCACACCCTTTCTCCTCCAAACTGTCAGCCTGCAATGGATAAGACTGAGCACTTGGAGCCTTCTCTACTCCCTCCCTGCCAATTGCCAACTATATGCCCTAGTTTAGTCATTTAAAAATGGGGGAAAAAAACCCAGAGAAACAGAAAATTATTACACCTACTGCCAAGATTGAATGAGATTGTTTGTGTGAGACACTTGGTAAAGCCTGAAATACAAGAAATGTTAAGTATTCATCATTATTTTATTCCCACGCCTTTGACTACTTAGTCAAAATGCCAACTTTTATGTTAAAGTTTCAGATGTGTTTGTTTTCTGTTTCTTTTGTGTCCAGAATAGTATCATGTTTACTTATTAAGAAATTCAAAGATTGCCTGATCCAACTTACTAAAAGAAAAGGTAAGGAGAGTTAACAAAATCAAAACAGAACAAAAATGACCCAATAGGTGAGTTATTACCTGTTGATTCAAATTATATTTCCCTTGCATTTTTAAAATTCTGGTGAAGAAAGTTTGGTGCTTAAAATTCTGTAATTTGGCTAGTGGACTCAACTTAGATTTCTACTTTAATCTCACATACTGCTTGCTTTCAAGTGAACAGGCTTCAAGCTTGTCACGATCTTGGTAATTTTTCAATCCCCTAGGGAATATTTTATCACTATTGGCTGGAAGGCAACTGAAATATTATTTTGTATTTGACTTTACCTAAATGGTAATTCACAGATCCATTGGATTGTTGCCTAGACAACTGAATATAATAAAATCAAGAGAAAAAAAAGATTAAGCTAAGTAGTACTAATTTCCAGCTTAAAGAAATATAAGGGAATATGGAGGTGAAATAAATACTAGGTGAAAAAAGTGCAAACTCTACTAGCATGCATTTATTGAATTTAACAAGGGTTGTGCTGTTGGCTCACCCTCCGGATCCTATAGGATTCCAGCAAATTAAACTTCTCCAACTGGCAAGTTAATAGTGTTGATGTAATGCTGCTTGTCCCCAGACAGCTGAACTCAGCAACTCCAGTTCCATTTTTCCTTTCCAAAGGATAGCTAAAGAAACATTCCTGGGACACATGTAACATGTTTGCTTTTTCAAGAAAGAAATTTAGTTCATATTTTCCTCTATAGCTCTATGTCTTATGCCATGATTTCTTTTTTTTTTAACACATTTTTAGTTGTTGATAGATCTTTATTTTATTAATTTATACACAGTGCTGAGAATTGAACCCAGGGCCTCACACATGCCAGACAAATGTGCTACCGCTAAGCCCCAGCCCCAGCCCCTTATGCTATGATTTCTATAGATTTTATTTGTTTGGGTAAAAAGAACAATATTTAGAGTATTCCAAAAGTTCACAGATCTGAAGTTCAAGGAAAAGGGATTTTTTTTTGTCCTATATGTATACATATTATTGTCCTATATGTATTGTGGTCCTGTATGTATATTCTCTTCGGTTTTTCAACACAGGAGGGCCTGTGGACATTGCTGCTGCTTCTGCTTTCTCCTCCCCTTTCCTACACAGAGCAATTCCCTTACAAGTCCACTTTTTCAAAAGTGAATATAAGACACACAACTGTAACCTGTGTCTCCTAACAATATAGCATGTACAATTCTCAAAGCCAATGGTTAAATCCAGCTCCTTATTTATAATTCCAGCAAAATATTCCATAGTGTGAAAATATAATTTTTCAGCTATTCCCTTGATGAACAATCAACTCATTTTCAGGTTTATTTTCCATCAACACGGTGGAAGTTAATCGTTTTTGTTCATGATTTTACATGTGGGATCTTTTGAGTCTGCACATTATATTTTAAAATATAAGGCTTATGGGTCAAAGGTCTATTTATCTATATTAAATAGCTTTACATTTAGATCTATATGTATTAACATTTTCTTATTTAAAGGTAGTATAGATATTTCTATGTTATCTCTATTTGATCCCATCAGCTCAGGTTTTTCATTTTATTGATTTATTTATTTATTGGTAGAAAATGGTTCTTAACACTCAAAAGCAACAACAACAAGAACTTATGCCTTGTTTTAAGTAGAAAACTTTAATCTAGAAATAAAATGTGCCTCAAATCAAACCGATTTTTATTATTACTATGTTATTTCATGATTATTCATATTTTCGCAGTTCTTTTTTTTTTTCAAACTTTTGACAGAACATTGTGTAGGTGCTAGGTACTGAACAAATGACCACACTGGCAGACTCAGCTGTGTATTTAACAACAGCAAAGCATTACCAATATATTTGATGGAACAACACATTATTAATCACATTTCTATTTAGGCCATTACCAAAGATTCACTTGTTCCTGAAATTTTGTTATAAGCCAAATCATTAAATTTCTTTGCTTATTTTCAAGTATTAGTAGAACTATTAAGTCAACAAGGTTTTTCTTGAATTAATGTTAGAATGTACAGTATACATCATGGATCTGTTTTTATGACATACAAGGTGTTTTGTTTCTACTTTTTTGCTATGGAAAATAGTTAACTGGCTATCTCTTTGATATGTGTAGTCATAAAATGTGACTAGTTTATATAAGAATATTTTAAGTAAGAAGAAAACAAAGGAAAATCCTAGGATTTAGAGATGACCATTTTCACTGACCATCAATATGTATTATTTCATATAATTCTTCAACAACTTATGAAATTAGCATTCACAGATGAGAAACTGAGTTTCAGAGACACCAAGCAACTTGCTCAAGGTCTCACAGCAAATAAATTGGAAAGCCCATACTTGACCCCATCATCTGTCTGGTGTTGAGGCCCACACTAGTATATCCTTTGTTCTCTACTGAACCTGACACATTGATCACCATGCACTTTTGCCCCAATGTTTTTCCTTTCTTGGTTATAAGTCACAGGTCAGTCTGAATCAACAGTCAGTGATACAGACATGAAGCGAAAGTTCCTTTGGCTATAGCACTTCTACATGACTAGAATGGATCTGGTCCCCTCTTGGAGAGGAAGGGGGTTATTCCTGGTCCTGCTGAGCTGCCTCCTCTTCTGAGGTTAAAATTTCTCCCAGAAGCTTGAGGTTGGTGGTAGGACATGGAACATTGTTTAGTCTCAGACTTCATCCTTTTGTTATAGTCAATATTTCTATGAGTGTATTAAAGCTATTCACCAAAAACTAATTCAATGTTACATGACCTTCTGGGTGTACACTTTTCTTCCCTTTTTTTTTTTTTTTTTAATGCTGAGAATTATTTGGGAAGCTAAGGACATTTTTCTTTGAGACTTCCAAAAGGCACACTGGAAAGTACCTCAAATGTCTCATGCTTAATAAGTATTCGTGAGGAGGAGGAGGTAGTAGTAACATTGCAATCCTCCTTATATTAGACTGTTGTTGAATAATTTGAGCATTGATAATTTTAGAATATTTTCAGCAGTGGAAAATTTAAGCAAGACTCACATCATCTTCAGAGGCAACACATGTTCATCCATGGCCTGTCATGAAATGCACAGCCTTTTGTAGTTTCATATGCAAAAGGGTAGAAGGTCTTTTATTTTCCTTCCTGAATATGATGCCTAACTATAACACCAAATAGTATGGAATTCTTAAATTAGCTAATACTATTTTCTCAGTTCGTATCGCATTAGGTTTTGTTGGTGGTGGTGGCGGTGTTTTAAATATTTGTCCTGCTTCCTAGTTAAAAAAAAAAAAAAAAAAAACAGCAAGAGGACTAACTTGGGGAAGTTTGGGATAAAAATGTACCCGGAGTGTAGGGATGGGTGGGGATGGAGGCAGTGGGGGATGCTCTTTGTAAATGGCAAGAGAATCTTTTTCTCAATTCTCCTACTGCCATGCAAGACTTTGGGAATTAAGCACCACGCCCAGCTTGTAACTCTTGAACACTGAGGTTAAGGCTGAAACACTACCTGCTGCTCCCTTCTCCAGCATCACACACAGACCAGGTCTGGCAAAATAGGCTGGCTGTTAGCCAAACTCCGAAATCACCAACCCCAGACACCTGCAGCTGGTTCCTTGCCAGAGAGCCCGGGACGCCTGGGGTTGGAAAGATGGAAAGACGCTGAAGCCACAGACGCACGCACGCACCCGGGACCGGGAAAAATTGAGAAGCGGTTGAAACCATAGATGCCCAGGGAAGAGCTGCTCTCCCTGGAAGGGTGCCTGCCACGCACGGCTCTGGCAAAGATCCAGGATGCCCAGCGAAAAGCATTCCCACACCTGCATGCGCTCAGAGTGCCAGCGCTTACCCACACACCCCAAATTCACAAACATGGTACATGGCAACGTCCTTTCCCCTGGGTACCCCTATCTGGGTGGCACTCTGTTCTAGGCAGACAAACCCTTCTTTCTTTTCTTTCTTTCTTTCTTTCTTTTTTTTTTTTCTCATCTTGCAAGTTTTTAAACCTGAGGCTGGGCGACCCAGGGCTGCGCTCAGGGCTCCTAGTGTTGCCCTGGAATCCACCGGATACCCATGTCATGCCCAAGAGATGCACAGGCATCTCGCGCACGTTCCAAGCTCCCAGAGAGGACAAAAGGGGATAAGGGTCCCAATTTGAGTAAAGAAACGGTGACTGCTGAGACAAGCTTCTAGGGCTGTCTGCAAGTGCCTCAGGGAACAATACCCAGGGCCCATGTGCGCCCTCCCTTTCCCGGGGCATTCTCACCAATTGTATCCTCTGCCACGCTTGAACTTGACGGTAAGCACAGTCTCCAGGAAGAGCAAGAGGTTGAGCAGCGCCAGCAGCCAGTACCATGGATCTCCCTTCACCTCCGTCACTCGCCAGACCCCGACCAGGGAGTGCAGCACAAACAGCAGCCTGGTGACGAGGTCGTTGAGGAGGACCAGTCCCTCCATGCCTGCCCTTGCGCTTGGCCCGAGGCACCTCGCCTGAACCCTGCGGACCCTGCTAGAAGCGCCCAGAGCCCGCTGATGGGTAGGAACTTGACAGCACTGAGACCTGATGCTGCTGTCTTCCCTCCTCACCCTCCCGCGACCAATGCCGGTAGGATAGGAGAGCGTGACTCGCCCCTCCCCCCAAACTTCCTGAGAACTCTTCAAAGAGGGGAGAATCCAAACCCAGCTTTTCCAGACTGCTGGGTTTTGCAGAGTGCGGGGCTGCGCCGCTCAGGCTCCTGGGCGTTATTTTGCAGCTCCACTCATCCCCCTCCCAATCCTGGGGCCAGTCTCCATCACCATCACCCTGCTCTATCCCCACCCCCAGGCCTCCGTGGGGTCCACAAGAATTTCCCCCACTCTGAGGAGCTGTAAAGAAGAGGGAGGTGGACAGAAGGTCAAGGTGCTGCATAGCAAGATGGGGCGAGGCGGGAGGAGAGAGGGGGCGCCCCTCTGGCACCTCCTCTTTACTTTTCCACCAAAGTACTCTTTAATTTACTCCCACGTTTCACAGGAACATGCTCTCAGGGTGATTCGAAGCTAGCATGCTGGAAAGCCAAAGAATCTGCTGTCCATGCAGTTTTAGAAACACAGCAGCGCCTGCCCAGTTTAAAGAATTGAAACTTTCCAGGACCAGACAAAGTCAGCAGCTCTGGACTGTCCTGGAGCTTCTTACATCTCCTTCAGCGCAAGGGTGACCCTGGTCACTTACTCTTCCAATGCTTTCATTAAAACAGATAATTTGGCGCTGGGGTTGTGGTTCAGCAGTAGAGTGCTCGCCTCACACGTATTCAATCCTGGGTTCGATTCCCACCACCACATAAAAGTAAATAAATAAAATGAAGGTATTCAATGAAGGTCCAACTACAACTAAAAAATAAATATTTAAAAAACCAGAGATAATTTTTATTATGCCATCCCTGACTCCTACCACTATCCCTAACCCCTTGAGGGTGGGGATGGAGTGGTGCAGCAAGATAAGAGGGCAGAGGGGAAAATGAGGGAGAAGAAAGAAGATAAAGTCAGGAATGAGATTAAGAGGTGAGATTCCTGGAAGGGAGACCTGCACTCTTGAGATCAAGGACCCTTAAGTTAAATTCTGGTCTTTCCAGCATCCAAGGCAAAGTAGAAGCTTAAGTCAGACTTTCCTAAATCACCTTCATGATTACTATTTGTTTGTTTGGTGTGCTGTTATTTGTGATACTATTTACTTAACATTTTTCTTTAAATAAACTTTTTTTTTTTTTTACTGAAATCTATTTGTTGTAAAAAGAAACTTTACATCATTTGTAAATGGAAACCCAGTACAGTTGTCTATAGATGGAAGGTAACTGCAAAATAATAATAATAATAATAATAATACAATGGACTAAGTTGTTAAAAATATCATTAGGTATTCTTGTCTCCAAAGCTCTGTACCTCAGATTTCCTTTCTTTGTTATAAATGGAGATTTTTAAAAATGATAGTTAGATTACTAGCAAGCAGGAATGCTCTGTTGTCCACATTAGTAACATTGAAATAAAAACACATGGAGAATATCTTTTCTAGTTAGGTTTATTCAATTTAAAACTATGGTATACCTCAAGTCAAAAAACTATGAGTTATTTGATTATCTCTATTAGGTGAAAAAGAAATCAAACTGCCTAGAGAAAATGTAGAAGCTATTTTTGGTACTGAGATCTGTAAGAATTTATTTATTTACTTTTCCTATGGTCTGTATTGTTTCACAATATCTTGCAGGAAACCCTGCAATTATTTGTGTGTGTGTGTGGGGGGGGTGTTTATTATAGTGCTGCTCAATATAAACTGATAGCAGTGAGCATATTCAAGGAAAAGGAAGTGGAGAGCATGGTAGACAAAGGTAGCAGAGGCAGCAGCAGGGTGTAAAGATCAAAGATCCAGTGCCCACCAAGTAGCCTCTGGGAATGCTGACTCAGTCACTTAGGAGTGTTGTAGTTTTTATTGCCCTCTTGTAGCTTTTATTCCTCTGTGTGTTAATCAGCTTTCTGTTGCTGTGACAAACTACCTGAGAAAATCAATTTAAGAGATGAAAGAGCCAGGCCTGGTGGCACATGCCTGTAATCCCAGTGGCTCTGGAGGCTAAGGCAGGAGGATTACAAATTCAAAGCCAGCCTCAGCAATTTAGCAAGGCCCTAAGCAACTTAGCAAGACCCTGTCTCTAAATAAATAAATAAAATGAAAAGGGCTGGGGATGTGGTCAGTAGTTAAGCACCCATGGGTTCAAATCCTGGTTCCTTAAAAGAAAAAAAGGATGAAAGATTTGCTTTGGCTCATGATTCCTGAGATTCCAGTTCATGGTTAATTGGTTACTTTGATTCTGGGCTTGTGAGAAGACTGAATTTCATGGCAGAGAGGGTATGAAGGATCAAAGTTGCTCACCTAATGGCAGCTAGGAAGGGAGAGAGAGTGAAGATGAGATGTAGACCCCAAGGGCACATTCTTAAAGACCTCCTTCAATTAGCTCTTACCACCCACATTTCCTATCACTTCCCAATAGTCCACTTATTTATAAACTCATCAGTTGATTAATTCACTGATGAGGTCAGAACTCTCAGGATCTATGCACTTTCCAAAAGACTCACATCTGAACATCACTGCATTAGGCACCAAGCTTTCAATACATGAGCCTTTGGGTTACATTCCAGAGGCAAACCATAACACCCAGCTTCCTCATTTGCAAACCATAACACCGAGGTTCCTCATTTGCGAATTGGTAGATAGTAAGTAGATGCTAAGTCTATCTACTCATAGGCTCACTAGGGGACCAGATATATTCATCCATATAAAGTGTGTGACAGGTATTATTTGTTAGAAATTGGAGATTATTGCCAGGACCAAAACAAACAAACAAAAAATTAGTCCAGAGAGCTATTCTGAGAAAAGGACAAATAGGAATAGAACAGACAAATGTGTTATTCCCAACGCATGTCAAAACCTTTCAGCAGGACCCTACTAAGAGCACATTCAGAACTGAACAAGATGGGTTTGCTACTTTTTTTTATAAAGGGAAGCACATTTCAAGGGGACCCATGAGTGTGTCAACAAGAAGGTTTTAGAAAGGTAAAAAGTTTTAGAAATGACTTGCTAGAAAGTATTGGCTTTTACTTAGGCAATGTTAAGGCTTAAGATAATAGGACTATAGATTGTATGCTTTCAAAAATGGATTTAATTTTATGATTGGCGGTCTTGATAAATTTAATTTAGATAAGGGAATGTTGGTCACTTCTGTGGTTTGTACAATATTCATGTTTTGATTGTGTTCAGTCATGACTATGAAGCAGACTTATTTGTGTCTTTATCCACAACAATCACACTGTTGACCTTGCCTGATGTTACGTGAACATGTTGTATTCAAGAAGAGGATTCCAAAGCCAGACTGATGGTACCAGAGCAATGCCTGCTGTCAGGAGTTCTTTTCTCTTTCTCACGCCTGTCAGGAAGAGCTCCTTAGGAGGAGTGCAGAAAAGAAAGAAGGAGGTTAATCTGACATCTTCCAAACATCTTTGCAATTCTCTGTTTTGAAGGATTTGATACAGTATAGCTTCTGTTGTCTCTGGATCTGAAAAACAAAAACTATCATTAAAAAGAATATAAAGGTTCTTTCTTTTTAATTTTCTCCTAAGCCCATTTACAAGGACTGGAGGCTTTGAGAAATATCTTGAGATCTTCAACCTAATAGCCCAGTAATATTTAGAAAAGAGGGAAAAATTGTAATTGTTATTTTTTAAAAAATCCACACTTCTTGAAAAAGCCATCTCAGCAGCATGCACCCAGTTCTTGAGGTTACACTAAAGCAGAACTTGCTCAGACCACTATCTCATGAGGAAACATCACCAGATTTTTCTTCCTTTCCCAGTGCAAAGTGGGCATCATCACTGTCAGGCTTCTTTTCAAATTAGGGTGATTTGAGTTGCAAGAAAGATACTTTCCCGTGCTAGCTCAAGTAAAAGTAGTAGTTTTTGGAAAGCAACGTGTGATCTAAAAATGGAACTAGACTCCTTAGAATTAAGAACAGGAAGTATAATAACAGGACCTTGGCCATCTAGAACTGGAAGCCAACTCAAGTAGCACCAGGGATCACATGAGTACAGTTTGTGGATCTTTGCAATAGCAGCTCTCTGACGTTGGCTTCTAGCCAATTTCTCCATGCTGAGTTCAGGTTCCTGAGAAAAGAACTTCAACTGACTTCCTTTAATTTTAGATACCAGGTCACATCATAAATTACTGCACTGGCAATCAGTGGACCTCAGTGTTTTCACTGGCCATCCCCATGCAAAGACAAGTTTAGTGTTGCTAGATTCTGTGTAGAGTTTGAACAGGAGACAAATGGCACATCATAGGCATGTTGAACAGCTTGCCTAACACCATCCAGCTATGAGCTGACATGTACATACCCTACACTTACAATGCCAAAGATGTCCCTAACCAATTCTATCTAAACATTGGCATACAATTGTCCACCCACCTATGGCTTTCAACAGAGATGCAATTCAGTCACATCTATCCTATGACTACCCAAGGGGCAAGTTGATCTCAGAAGCTGTAGTCTTCTGATGATCCTCATTCTTCTCTTAGCTCCCTTATTATCCTATTCAGACATCACCCTTACGTGTGTGTGTGTGTGTGTGTGTGTGCATGTATGTGTAATACCATACATGGAAAACATCAATCACTATAGGCAAGTGCAAGTCTATTCCCCAGAGGAATTTTTCATCACTAACACTTTCTATTTTTTTTTCTAGTGATTAAAATTATACTTTAAAAATAGCTGGGGGTGGTGGCACACGTCTATAATTCTAGTGGCTTGGGAGGCTGAGGTAGAAGGATTTCGAATTCAAAGCCAAGGACCTAAGAACCTTAGTGAGATCCTGTCTCTAAATAAAGTATTTTAAAAAGGAGAGGAGATATGGCTCAGTGATTAAGTGCCCCTTGGATCAAT